ATATATATATATATATAAAATTCATGGGGAAAAAGCCCTTTGAGTACTGATACTATGTCATGTTTAGTTTTAAATTTCTAGTACCTAACATCCTGCTGGATATATGATAAGTACTAGTACTTGTTTATGAAATAAATAGAAATATAAAACAATTCCTCTTTCATTTACTCTCTTTTAATGTGTTATTAATGCTTCTGGCTTTATTTTTATTTCTCATGTAGATACTAGCAAAACAAATTCAAAAGATTACCTGGATTTTATTAGAGATAAAAGAAATTAGGTCAAATAATATGTAAATCTTTGAAAGGATCTGGCAATACTTCAGGCTTTGCTACATTAACAAGTTTTTGGTTTTTTTGGTTCTTACATCAGGTGGAGGATATATAGCTTAACCATGTTCAGCAGTTCCCTACTCTCCTCAAGATAAAAGCATTCTTCAGCTCTGGAAACTCAGTTCTTTGAAACTGAGATCATTCCCCATTCAAGTTCCATCTGATTCTACATCTTTCTACAAATTTAAGATCCAGACATAAAGGATCATTTAACTCTCTTTAAAAATGTCAGGATATTGTAGGTGTTCACGGCTTTAAGAATGGGGTTGTCTACACCTGGAAAGTTAGGTTTCTCCTAAGTTGGTCAATACTTACTAATACCTTGAGACCCACTTCAAATTGTTATTCATTACACAGCCTGTCTTGGTAAATATGTTCTGTTAAAGTGCTTGCCTGTTCTCATAATTTTAGGTCTCCCTTCCTCCTCACTGACATGATGCCATCAAGGAAGTTTAAAAAATTTACCTTAAACACATCCATAATTTATCTCAAAATAAAATATGCATCATTTTTTTATAGTTAACACCCTTGTATATGTGAGGATGTCAAACACTGGTTATCATTTAAATAAACCAGGATGCTTCCCTCAGTAATTTCATTAATTATTGTTGTATGGAACTGATTTATTTCTTTTACCATTCTATGAATTTTAGCATTTGTATAGAATCATGTATACAACAAATGGGATGAAGGCAATTACACCGTCTCCAAAAGACCACTTTGCATTATCCTTTTATAGTCTCATAATTCCCCCAACCTTAACCCTTGGCAACTGCTGACTTGTATTCTATCTCTATAGCTTTATTTTTTAGAAGATCATACAAATAGAATCATAAAATATATAACCTTTTGAAATCAGTAATTTTTTTTCTCAATGTAACACTCATTTTATATAAACATATGGAAGTCACATTACAGAAGCCCCACTGGAGTCGGGGAAGTCAACCTTATGTTTTTGTTAAACCTACCTCTGCCTTCTAGGTTGGGCCCCAGCTTGGGGATACCTGCTGCTTTGGGAAAGCTGGGGCTGCTGCCAAGAGGCTTCTGAAGAAGCTGCTGAGTGGCCGACCCCTAGGCCAAACCCCTTTTTTGGTATGTGATACATGGTAACCTTCTCTGGCCCTCCTTAGCCTAGGGTAGCATTCTGGGGAAGAGGGTTCTGGAGAGCAAGACCCAGGAATCCTGGGGGCACTTAGAGGGTGGGGAGGACCAAGCCACAACGTAGAGTCTTAAGCTTAGAGTTTGCACCTTTGGAGATGGGGGCACAATACTTACAAGTAGGAGGAACATGGGCTGTCAGATAAGCAGGAAGCAATTTGCCTTTTTTTTTTCTGGTCCAGGTACCCATGCCTCTTCCCCTGTTGGTTCAACTCCTGCTGGGACCCCATATTTCCAGGGATAAGTCCTGGATTCCTGCCTGTTCCCTCACAGCTCTTCCCCATGAAGTACCCCTTCATCTCAGAGTGGCCAGACCTTAGTAACACAGCACTGGTTAGGATTTCAACAGAAGTGGGCTTATTAGAAGAGGCACCCCTGTAAAAATATACAAAACATCTGGGGGGCTATGTGGAAGGGGAGATAAATATGTACCTGGAACACCTTTCATTTAGCTCCTTCTCCCCTAGCCCTCAGAAAGCCTGAGGACTTGGGTGGTAGATGAAAAGCAGGAGGGCACTTTGGCCTTTGGCTTACTGAGGCCTCAAAAGCAGTGATGGTGCATCTCAAGAAATCATGAGATATGACTCTGAAACCGCCCCACTCTCATGTACACACACATATATCCCTTTGTAGAGGCTTGTGATCTCTGCCCTCCCCATGATTCCAAGGTCCAACTGACACTTGATTTCATGGTGGCTGGGACTTCTGCTCCCAGATTCCATGACTTCAGAGGTGGCTAATGAGGTCATGACCTCTGTCCTCCAGCCTTGACTTGAAACCTCTAAGACCTTGTCAAAAGGAAGAGAGGATGGAGTTATGCCCCTGCCTCTCCCCTTCTCTCACCTGTCAGTCTGGGCTGGGCCAGGCGCCCAAGGTGGGAAATTAGGCTGAGGGATGGGCACAAGCAGAGGTGGTGCCCCTAGAAGGGCTCCTGGTGGGGTCTTGCTGAGAAGGTGAGGGATTCCTGGGACCACAGTTGGTGGCCTGGTTCTCTGCCTGTGAGAACTTACATTTTGGTGCAGCCACTGTGGAAATCAGTATGACTTCTCAAAAAGCTAAAAATTGAACTAGCATATTAACAAGCAATTCCACTCCTGGATATATATACAAAGAAAACGAAAAACACTAATTCAAGAGATACATAGACTGCAATGTTCATAGCAGCATTATTTACAACATCCAAGAGTTGGAAGCAACAAATGAACAGATATAAAAGATGTGGTTTATATATGTGATGTAATACTACTCAGCCATAAAAAGAACAAAATCCTTCCATTCTCAACAAACTTGATGGACCTAGAGGGATTATGCTTAGTGAAATGTCAGAAGACAAAAGATGCATACTGTATATTATCACATATATGTGAAATCTAAAAACAAACAAACAATCATGACTATAACAAAACAGAAACAGACTCACAGATATAGAGGGCAAACTAGGGGTTACCAGTAAGGAAAGGGAAGGTAGAAGGGGCAATATAGAGTTAGTAGATTAAGAGGTTGAAACTACTATTTAGAAAATAAATAAACTTCAAAGGTATATTGTATAGCACAGGGGATATAGTCACTATTTTATAATAATTTTAAATAGAGTATAATCTATAAAAATACTGATGAGATGGTTAGATAGGATCACACACTCAATGAACATGAATTTGAGCAAACTCCGGGCGATGGTGAAGGAGTGGGAAACCTGACATGCTCCATGACACAGTCATGCTACTGACACATGACATGCTCCTGACACAGTCCATGGAGCTGTGAAGAGTCAGATACGACTTAGCAACTAAATGACACTTGAAACTAATATAACATTGCAGAGCAACTATACTTTAATTTTTTAATTAAATAAATACAAATATGCATGGACTCAGACATTACCAGAAGAATTTAGAAACAGCATGCCATGGTAAGAACTTCTCTTCCTACTGAGAAATAGATGATCATAAGTAAGTGCTTGTGGGTCAGGATATACAGCAAGACACTTGGGTGCACCTTCAAGTGTCTGAGAATGCCTCATTGTTTTTAATATTCTGAATCATAAGGCACTGACACCTCCTGGCAATCAGGAAGCTTATGTCCTAGCCCAGATATGAATCTTCAAAACTGACCCTTCAGTAGATACAGCAGATTGGATATGTAGAAAGAAGGGTTACCATAGCACTCAGATGGGATGACACATTGCTAAGGATGTCGAATTGCCCTTTATATACAGTGAGTTGATTAATACAATTATCTCTGTGTTCAAACCAATTTCCAAGGCAACTGCCAAAGGAATATGGGGGTATCTACCAGAATTTCCAACTTGTAAAAGATTGGCAAATTGATTATAAGGGTCCCTTCCCTCCAAATGAGGTTTTTAAGTATGTTTTGATCTGTGTGGACACCATGTGTGGCCTAACTCAAGCTTTCTCCTGTTACCAAGCTACAAACATTAGGGCACTAGAGAAACTTAAGTACCACTGTACAGACATCCTCATGGAATAGACAGTGATCAGGCCTCATATTTTAAGGGTCATGGCATGCAAGACTGGCCAAAAGAACACAACACTGAATGGAGATTTCCTCTCTGCTATAACCCAAAGGCATCAGGGTTGATAGAAAGGAAAAATGGAATATTATAGCAAGAGATTAAATTAATAACAAATACAACTGCTTTGGCCTGGTGGACCAATGTATTGTCCCAAGCTTCCACACATCTGGATGACCAACCAGTAGAGCCTGTTACCCCAGATGCCAGACTGGAACCCCTGCCAAGACACTCAACACTAAAAGTATGAAAATCATAGGGAGATGGTCACTGCTCAGACTCAGGTTGTGATAAATCTGTTGAGAACCCTAAGTCCCATGATGCCTGGGGAAAGCCTTTCTACTGGATTTTTTAAAAAATATTAACGTATTCATTTTATTTGGAGGCTAATTACTTCACAATATTGTAGTGGTTTTTGCCATACATTGACATGAATTAGCCAGGGGTGTACATTCTATTCGAATTTGCAATGGAATGTTCCACGGGGATGGTGCAGCCAGAGAGCCATCAAATGAGCCACGGTCGTGCAAATGAAACCCATGGCGGACCCTTCAGGGCACATTCTAGAGGAGGCGGGAAAGAGGAGCACAAATAAGAGCTAAATATAAGGAATACAACTTTGGAGGAGGTCATCCAGAGAACGTGACCGCTGACTGACCTGCACGTCACCTGAAGCCGGGAATTCGGTATTCCTCAACCCCTCCCCTGTCCTGGGAATGTATCTTCTGCCCACCGTTCCCACAGCTGCAGCTGTTGAAGTGAATCAGCCTTGAGGGAGCAGCTGAGAGAGTGTACGTGACTGAACTCCATTAAGGCCTCTATGGGAACTCTGAAGATTCTGCGGGCAGGTGCACACAACTACTTGTTTCACAGTCTCCCCAAACAAATCTCTCATGTATGTTCCCTTGCTTATTAAAAACACCACCTACCAATCTGGGGTGGGCTGCCTTCTATCCCCAGTCACTTCTTGAGCTCCAAGTTTAGGCGGCAGTGTGCGAACTGACGCGGAGTAGAGACTGGACCAGGCCTCGGCGCGGCTGAGGGGCCTTGGCTGTGGTGTGCACTGCTGGGGCGGCACGGATGACTAGCCGCAGGCTTGTGCGCGGCAGTGGACGCCACTGACAGGAGTCGGAGTCTGCGGCGTGCAGACGCAGAGCGACAGGCGAAGCTGTGAGCACAGGCCACAGCGCCGCGCGGGTAGCTCTGAGTCCAGCCTCGTCAGGGCCCGCTGGTGTCTGTGAGGATCCCTGCCGCGGCGCAGTGCGCGGACTGGCTGTGGGCATGCGCACAGCGGCGGAGGCCGGTGGTGGCAATCTCGCCAGATCCCCGCACCTGTGCGGCCGTCCGAGGCCAAACTGCCTCCCGGAGAGAGACTGGATGGGCGCAAGCGTCCATGGTAGCACTGGATGTGGCAGCTGGTGAGGAGGAGGGCAGAAGCAGGTAGAGACTCAGTCACTGGCGTTTCTAAATGCGAGAAAACCTGTGGAGTCCTCAGTGACAGGAGCGGCCTGGGCCTGTGGTGGCTGCGCCAGCCGCTGTTTTCTTCAGTGAGGAGAACGACAGGTGTCCTCTGCAGAGCTGTGCGCTGGGGTCCACAGCGAGGTCCTTAGTGAGGAAAGCTTCGGGGGTCCACTGGTATATGCAGACCCTCAGAGACAAGGGCTTGTGGAGGCCTTGGGGGAGCAGGTGACTGGAAACTCTGGGCTGGTTTCCATAGCCTCTGCCTCCTTGTTTCGTGCTGTCTCTAGACAGCCTGGCAGTGCCCGTCTCTGAATGGGATGAAACCAAAGCCGGCCCTCCTGTTGGGCCCTGAAAAGCTGGGTAGCTGGTTACCCTCCCTGGTGACGGGACTTCCTGTCAGCACCAAGCTGTCCCACCCTGGGGGATGGGATGAGACTGGCAACTCGAAACTGTTCCCCCTTCCCTTTTTGTGAAGTCATTATCGGACTTTTCTCCCCAGTCTGTTGCTGTAGCTTCTGAGTGGATCCCTGAGCTCTCCCAGAGCTACTTAAATTTGTGGATAGCTGTCTAATTGTAGTGCTGTATGAGGGCATGAAGGCTGCAGTCGGCTACTCCACCATCTTGGCAAAATCGCCCTTACCCACCCCCTCACCCCCCTATTTTCTTTTCTTTTGTTTGAGTGAGCTTCTGTATATCTACAAAATATACTGCTGTAATTTTGATTTGAATGAAATCAAATCTGTAAGAAAAAAAAAAAGGAGGAGGAATGCCATTTTTACCAGGTTGAGTCTTCCAATCCATGAGCACAATATGTATCTCAGTTATTTTAAAGATCAAATTGCTTTTATTGAGCAGTTCATGGATTGATAAATAAAAATTTTAATCCCTATGTATCTCTGCTTTTGGGGTCTTCTTTGATTATTTAATCAGTGCATTTAGTTTTCAGAATACAGTTTATATATATGTTTTACATATTTGTACATGAGTATTTCCTTTTGGAGTTAAATATTTACATTGTTGCTTTTAAATATTTGCATTGTTGTTGAATTTTGTAAACACAATTTTAAAATTGTGTATTACATTGCTAGACATAGGAATACAATAGATTTTTATGTGTTCACCTTGCATCCTAAAGCTTCAATAAATAATTAGTGTGAGAGGTTTTATTCTGTTTTGTTTTTATTTGTTTTTAGGCTCTGGGATTTTCTCCTTAGATAATGATGTCATCTGCAAGTAAGAACAGTTTTATTTCTTCATTTCAAGTGTTTATGACTTTTATTTTATTGTCTTGTTACATTTTTCTGGCTGGAGCTTCCTGTTTAATAGAACAGGTGTGTGACTGCTGTGAGTTGATACTCTTACTAAGTCTTTCACTACTCTTAACGGTGAGGTTAGTTGTAGTTTTGTTTTTGGTAGATATTCTTTATCAAGTTGAGTAAGTTATCTTCCATTTATGATTTTTTGAGACTGTTTATTAGCAGTGGATGTTGAATTTTGTCAAATGCTTTTTGGGCATGAACTTTAATGATCATGTTGGTTTCTTTAGGGTTTCCCTTGTAGCTCAGTGTGTAAAGAATCTGCCTGCAATGCAGAAGACCTGGGTTTGATTCCTGGGTCGGGAAGATCCCCTGGAGAAGGAAATGGCAACCCACTCCAGTATTCTTGCCTGGAGAATCCCATGGACAGAGGAGCCTGGCAGGCTATAGTCCATGGGGTCGCAAGAGTCAGATAAGACTTTTACGCTGTGATTCTAGTGGGGTATGTTTGTTTTCAAATGTTAAGCATGGCTTTCATTCTCATAATAAACCACAGATGATTTGAGGTTATTATTCTTTATATGTTATGTTAAATCCTATTTGGTAATATTTTGTGGGATTTTTGAGATTTTTTTTGTATGTCATGGAAAACCGACTTTACATGAATAGAGTTTTAAAAGCAAGTGTTGATGCAAAGGCTCTCATTAATTGATGGTGTTGTTCATTTTTTCATATCATTGCTGATTTTGTATTAATTCATATGAATCCTGGTTTTTACTCAGCAAGAGTGTTGATGTTTCTGATGTTGATAGTGGATTTATCTATTTCTCCTTTCATTTGTTTTGGTTTTGCCATGTGTATTCTAAAGCTGTGTAGTAAGTATATTTAAAATGCTAAGCTTTCTTAGTGAATTGACCCTTTTATTATTTTGTAATCTCCTTATCCTTAGCAATTTTCTTTCACTGAAAATTGTCTGATATTAATATTCCCACTCTTTCTTTTCATTAGCATTCATGTGTTAATTCTTTTTGCCAGGTTTTAACTTTAGCCTACTTATATTTGAAGTGAATTTCTAGTAGGCAGCACATATTTTTTATATGCATTCTCCTAATCTATGTCTTTTCTTTGGTATATTTAGATACTTTACATATAATGTAATTATTGGTATGTTTGGATTAATTTAAAGTTTTATTAATTGTTTTCTAATTTGTCCCTTGGTTTTTTGTTTCCATTTTTCTATCTCTTGTGGCTTATTTTAATATTTTTAGTATTTCTGTTTATCTATTATATAGTTGATTGTAATCATATGGTATTTTGTGGAATATCTTAAAAATTACAATATAGTTTTGTAATATTTTTACAATATAATAGTATCAACACTTTATCATTTCAATTAGGATGTAGAAATGTCACCACAATATTGTCTCTTTACCATCTTTGCTTTATGTAACTGTTCTTTCTGTAGCTTTTCTTATAAATTGAAGCTACATTATTTTAGAAACCTGATGATACAATATTATGATTTTTTTTCTACCAACTGTAAAATATTTTAAAGTTCTTAGAGGAGAATAATGTATTTACCTAAGATATCTGTTGTTTTTACTTATTCCCAATATTCCAAATTTTATTCTGATATAATTTCTTTCTGTTGGAAGAATTTTCTTTAGTGATTATTTTAGAACACATTGGCAACAGATTATGTTAATTTTTCTCTATCTGAAAATGTCTTTATTCAGCTTCACTCTTGAAGTATAGTTTTTCTAAATATAGAACTCTAGGTTAATTTATTTTTTCTTTTAGTAATATAAAAGTATTCTTCCACTTTCTACCCTCCAAATTTTTTATGAGAAATTTTGATGAGAAATATCATTAAGATTGATATTTCCTTCTAATAGTTATTTTTCTGCATTCAAGATTTCTTTTTTACTGTTTTACATTTTTGATATATTTTAAGGCATTAATTTTTGTAGGGATTCCACTGACTCTTTTTGAGCCCATATGTTTATTTCTCTCTCTCTCTGTTTTTTTTTTTTGCATCAAACACTTCTTTCTTTATCTTTTCTTGGACTTTGATCACTGGAATATCTTCCCCTTTGGCATTAATCCATTGGTTAGTGAGTGGCTATTTATTTGCGAAAAGAAGGGGGAAAAGTAGGAAAAAAATTATACTTTGAAAATAAAAACTTCTTGGTTAACATAGAGACGCTACTAGATTGAGAAAATTACCTAACATCAAGTGGAAATGTGAGAAAAAGCTTTGATGTGTATTTAAAGAATAAAATGGGTGGGATGATCTGAGAGAATAGCATTGAAACATGTATATTATCAAGTGTGAAACAGGTTGGATGTATGAGACAAGTGCCCAGGGCTGATGCACTGGGAAGACCCAGAGGGATGGGATGTGGAGGGAAGTGGAAGCGGGGATCAGGCTGGGGAACACATGTAAACCCATGGGTGATTCATGTCAATGTATGGCAAAAACCACTCCAATATTGTAAAGTAATTAGCCTCCAACTAATAAAAATAAATGGAAAAAAAGAATAAAATGGATATTTCTAAAAACCAAGATAGAAGTATGTAGAAAATAAACAATAACTGTCTGATAAGTCAGTCTTCCTCATAGCTGTTGCTGTGCTATAAATAAATATGCATAGTGCTATCTGCCACTGCAAAAGGTGAGTCATTCTTGCAAAAAATTAAATATTAATAAGTTTAGTCATACAGTATATTTTAAACAAATTTTTGAGTGGTAGTCTGAGAAATAACTTTTGGAAACAAATGTTTATATTGACAATTTTAATGCATAATTATGTGAAGTTCTATTAGTTTTGCTAGGAGTTCTACATGTTACACTATTTAACTACTACCTAATAATGTTTGCTGGGGTTTTTCAGTGCTTGGATATTCATTTTAGAGTATTGATCTTTGAAAAAAGAAGTGCAAAGAGAATATATGAATGTTGCTGTGGAGTACTCCAACTGAAAATTAGAAACTGATGTAAAATATGAAGCAGAAAAAAAATATAGATTTTAATGGCAAAATAAAAATGAGGACAAGTAGAGAAAATATTTTTATGAGCATACAGAACATCATACATCATAGCATTCAACTTGCAGATGTTTTGGATGAACTTATAACAAGTTAACTAACATCAGTGCAAAAGGAAGGAAATCTTTCAATGTTTGGAAAATTTGTTGTCAAACAAAGATTAAGACAACAGGATAGAACAACTAAGCTTTCTGTGTTTTAAACTTTCATTTTTAATAATAATAACTTTTAAATATTAAATACTTATATTTCAGTTTTAAATTATATTACTTGACATTTATTAATGGTAATATTTCCTTCATTGATGTTTTGATTATCAAATATTTCCTAATCGGGCAGAGTTGATTTTGTTTACTATTTAACCATATTATCTTGTCATAATATATTTGTTTATAGTAATATCCAATTTTTATAAAAAACCCCTGAAATTTTTAATCTTTAAGAATCTAAAAGATTCATTCTTTATTTTTTAGCTGTTTATTATTTTAAGGCATAATTTCAAAGTGCATAAAACACAG